AATTAATAATTAAGAGTAAATTAATAATTGTATCACTTAGGCGGTCTGAAAGTTGCCTCCAATGACTTTAAGGGAGTATTTTGCTTGTTTTTAATAATTGAGGGGGACAACTTACTTCAAAAAATAATTCAGGTATTGTGCAACTATTGTATTATTTCTTTCCATAGCTAATTCCAACATAGAATTATTGCCTTGATGTGAAATTTATAAATGAAAATAAATGGTGAATCAGTTTGGATGCAATACAAGTTGTATGAATTTATGGTGTACCACTTGCTCGAATTCTTAATAGAACAAACTGTATCAAATGATTTTCATAGAGCACATCATGTATAGATATATACATATATATATTTTTAGAAGTTTTAAGCAAATACACATACCCACTATATATTCTTGTCCCCCGCAAGGACTCAAACACTCAATCTCCTCGAACCTATACCATCTAAGCTAGAGCCTATTGTCCAACATATATATAAACCTATACCATCTAAGCTAGAGCCTATTGTCCTACATATCTATATATATTCATATTCGTAGAAGCGTAGATTTAATAGAAGTTCATAAAATACTACTTGTGGGGATAGTTGATCAATATGAACTGGCAGGCCTGCAAACAGGCAGGTCCTTCTCGAAGTTGGGCATGGCGCCCAATATGATATTTAAAGGATGGGAACAACTAAGGGAGGGAAAAACACAAATGTTGTGTTTGGGAGTATCCAACAGGTGCCTTGCAGCTTCAATTGGAGATATTTGAATTTAAAGCTTGAACTAAATTATCTTTAGTTTTAAATCCAAACCGGCTCCGCCCACCATACATATAGGATTTTTTTATATTTTATATATGTATATATGGAATTTTTTATGTAATGCCCCCTAAAATTATTAATTTTTAAAATTATCTCTTATTTTTCTAATTTTTTTTCTTCCTAATTTACTCTTCAAATTCCTTAAAAACTGTTAAATTTTCCTTATTAAATTAGTTTTTAATTATTTCTTTTTTAAGTTGTCATTTTTTTTTTCCCTTAACATTGTGCCCCTAAACTAAAATCCTGGCTCCGCCTGCCTATATATAGCTTAATTCCATTCATAAAATCATTTGTGAGATTTTAATAGTTTTGTTTATACCAGAAGGTGTACATGGGCATATATGTATATATGCTTTCCTTAACTGCAAAGCAATTTCTACGTGAAAGATGTCTCTGTCCAAACTTTTTGTTGACTACTAGGACTTTGTGCAGAATAAAAATTTGTGCATATTTTTACCGCATAATTACATTGGATTTCATAATGCAAAAATTATGACTGCACAGTCTATAGCTAAAATCATATAAATGCTATACTTGCATTTGGTTTGATCCAAAGATGTTTGGCATTTTTTGAAAGGACATTTGCGTATTATATGGTAATTGAATGAGTACACTGTTTCATATAGTATACAAATGAGTCAACTTTTTCTTTATTTTTTCCGTGTTTGTTCATCCTTTAATTGAATCCACTTTGTCCGCTTTGCGTTGGCCACAAGTTATCACTTGCCCGAAAGAATTTTGCTAGATGAGTCCATTTTTCCCTTTAACTTTCAACTGGATTTTTGTTTCTATCTACACTTGATTGAGAGATAATACATTTAGTATTTGAATAATTTATGTTATTAATTGCTCTACTTTTTTTTGTGTCTTTGGTGGTGTTTGTGGAGGAAGCAAAATAGAAGATTCTTTGAAAGAGAGGAATCTTCCATCACTATTCTAAAATTTTCTGTTATTAGCTCTCTTTGTTTTTAGAGTTCGGACAGACTCTCCTCTTCTGTTGAGAAGACTGTTGAGTTGGCTCCACTGAGGCCTTATGATACCCAGGTTTTTGTGGCTTTGTTAAGGGCGCTTTCCCAAAGCTTTTTTAATGAATTGCTTATTTATCTAAAAAAAAAAAAAAAAGAAAAAAAAAAAATTGCTCTACTTTTTTGTACGTATATTTTCCATATTGTCCTATCAACTTCTTGTGCCATATGGAAAGCATTCCGAATATTTTTCGTAAGTCTCATCTCTCTGTTCTGTCACTGGTACTGATGCTGGTACATTATCTCTAGAGCAATATATACCAGTACATATCTATAACCAGACATCTCAATTTTTTTCTCAATTTTATTTTATTTTATTTTTTTGTAATGTATACATATGTTTGTATATCTGTATTTGTAATAATGATGTTTTACGCAAAATGTACCGGCATTTCTTTGTTGTTTTGGATTCTTTGTAATAATCTGGTGGTCTGAATCTAGTCTTATGTTGAAGGTGGATTAAGATTTTGTAGGTTATGGTTGATCCCTCAACCTCCAAATTACTGGGATTGGGGTTTAATAAAGATGAAAGCCAGTTTATTTCGATTACGATTGGAAAACTAAAAGTTAATGCCAATAGCTTTCTGAAAACTGCTGTATGAAAACACAGTTTTTAAAAAATAACATATATATAAAAACATTTTTTTAGAGACTTATCTTTTAGTTCTTGTTTTAGGATTTTACTCAAAACTCTTTTTTGAAACTAAACCAGACAGGCTTAGAGCTATACTCCCTTTGAAATGTTGGAAGTTACTGTAACGACCCTAGCTGATGCCAAAATTTAAAAAAAATTCGGCATAACCTCCCCTAAAAATGGACCTTCAACAACCTGTCCCAAAACACAAAACACATAAAATCATCCAGCATCCCATTCATCCGTTCATTATTCCTCAACATAGTTCCTTTCATGGTGGAATATCCACACACCAATTAATCTAAATTATCATAATTATAGTCTCAAAACACAAGATTAATATTTAAAATCCCTGTCTTACAACGTTATATGATATAATTGCATGGAAACATATACCATAATTCCACTAGTTTCATTTACATCAAACAAAAGATAAGTTCGTTCTTAAGTTACAAGGCCATGAATATTAACTTAGTTACATTTCCACAACTACGAATATACATAGAACGGTCAAAATACAAAATAGCAAACAACCTTCTAACAATTTTCAAGCTTGAGGTGGATTGTCGTCCACTAGTTCATTTCCAAGACCTGAAAAAAATAATATAAATAGTAGGGTGAGCATAAAGCTCAGCAGGTGACACTTAAGACACACATCTTGTGTCCTTGTGAATCCAAACAAAGCATAGGCCAATGGGAAATGGGGATCATACAATGTCGGGAAATAATACAGCATAACGATTCAATGTCAAGTATATCTAATGCAATGTTATGAGATGCAATGCATGCTAGTGTCGCTCCCCATTTTCATAATCCAAAACATCATTTCCAAACTGTTAATACAGCCCGCCCTTTGATAGCCCCGCCGCGACACGAGAGGAGGATTGGCTAGTGTTCCTGACCTTTGGTAACCCCGCGGCGTCATTATGGGGCCCAGTTAGCTCAATTACGCTAGGGCAACTCCCTAATCCCCTCTATGCTATATTAACCTCCGGCCCGTTGGTAACCCCGCAGCGACCGGGTTTCGCATAAAACCATTTCATCAAAAAACTTCCCTGAAATTTTCCATATTTATTTCAAGAACAATATCTCCCATTTCATGCAAACCTAATGGTATGTGCATGTATATATGTTCCATACATTTAATGTCATGGCATTTAAAATTCTACACCATAAAATTAAACATTCAACATGTTCAACATCTCCCAAGTAATTATTAACACATTAAGATATAACAAAATACATTTAAGCATACTTTACACATAAAATAACTCACATTCAAATACATGAATTTCTCTAGACAACATTTAAAATAATCATTGATATAATTAACTTCTAATTAAGCATGCTTGGCACAACAAATGATTATAACTTACAATGGAACAAGAAGGTAGTGGATTAAGGTGTCCCTACCTCAAATTGAGCAAAATTCCTATAAATGGGTTCTTAAATTTGAGCTCCCAAAGAGGACCAAAAGCTGGAATTTCTGGTATTAGCACGTAGAGCTCGTCGTGCTCGTCGTTTTGCCTCAAACGGCACCTAAATCCGCCAAGAATTGAGAGAGAAATCAAGGATTGAAGTTGAAAAAGAAAAAAGAAAAGAAAAAGACAGAAGCAGCGAGAGAGAGAGACTTAAGCTGTCAAATTGGAAACTAAATGGGTTTGTAATGATCCTTATATCTCAAGTGGGCCCCACAGTTGAAAAAGTCATTATACTAATTATATATATATAGATAAAGTCAAAAACTTTACAGTTACCACCTCGTTATTACATAAAAACAATTTCGAAATGCTCGGCCAAAGTATCATTTTCCATATTTTAAATCATACATGGTCATGTAATGATCTTTTAAAATTCTGTTGAAGCAAGGAATTAACAAAGCACTTTTTTTGGGGCCTGTTGATGTCAAGGCACTTTTTTTTGATTTGTTGTTTGATTCTTTCTTCTTTTACTTTTTCTTTTTTCTAATATGATCCCCATTTCTCTACTTTTTCATCAAAGCTGTAATCTAGCTTTACCAATTTTATAAACAACAAAATCAAAATTATTTTCCCTAACAGTGTTTGAATTCCTGTATTACATGATCAAATTTACCTAAATGTTGAGATTAGGAGTATCTTTAAAAAATTTCGTTGCATGTCTGGAATTAAAAAAACTCTAAATCCAAGTTCTCTCATCATTAAACAAAGAATTAGTAAAGCTTAGTTCAATACGTAAGACGAGAAATTTTTTAGTAAAGCTTAAGATTTCTTGCACTTCATTCCCACCTACCTAAGAAATTCTTTACTTGAGATGACCTTGGAACAGAATCCCATGCAAAGAAGCTTAAGATTTCTTGCAAGGTGTTGGGATACGGTGCTATACACGTGTGCTGTGAGCCGTCTAATTAAGTACAACACTTGCTATATTGCAGAGGATCCGGCCCGTTGTTCTTTTATTCTTTTCTTTGTTAGTTCTTGTCAATCATTCTCATTTACTTTTCTTTATGATTAGGATCTCTCTCCCTATAAATCTAAATGTTTCATTCATCTCTCTTTCACTTGCAATCTCTCAATCTCTGCTTTCTCTTACTCTGTCCTCTTCTCTGACGGTCTCACCATTTGCAATCCCTTCCCTTAAGCAGTAACTGAATCATCTTTTCTCTGGTGCATTTGGATTTGAGATAGCTTACTTGTTCCATCCAGACAAGTTAGTCATAAGCTAGAGGTACGTTTTTGGTTATGTGTCTTTACTTTTTCCAACAACAATCTTAACTCTCTGTATTTCTCTATTGCTCCCATTCGATTTGTATTATCCTTTGTATTGCATCGTTTCCGTTTTATATCATTTTTACCCGTGTCTCTCCAATTTCTCATTTTGTCTCTCTTAGCTTTTCTATTAATTTAATTAGGCAATTTTTACATGCATCTGAGTTTATCTTCTGTATTGCATTATTAGTCTCTTTTCAAAGAGAAAAAAAAAGAAAAAAAAGTCAGCTATCTTCATTTCGTAACAGGAATTTGGTTATTAAGTTACTCATTTTTTTTAAAACTTAAATAAGATATGTGATTTCATTCTCTTATCAAGTTTTGGCTAACTCCTCCATTTTATTTATTTATTTTTGGCTTCTTATAATATGTTTTCTATTTGCACTAACTGCTCTTTTTTTTTATTTTTTTATTTTTATTTTTTTTTAACCTGAGGTGTTCGGGATGGCACAATCTTTAGGACCCCTCAACAGCCTGACTAATTCCAGAGGAATCAGAAGGGCGCCCCCACCTGGACCGAGTTATTTGCCCTAACGGTTGATCAAAGCTATTATCTAGCTTTACCAATTTCATTAACAAAATCAAAATTATATTTCCAAGAAATACATGATCAAATACATCTAAAAGTTGAGGTTAGAGGATTTTTATTTTTATTTTTTAATTTTTTTTTTTTTTAGAGAAAAAATTTCATACCTGGTAGTCGGTAGTTAAAAAACAGTAAGTTTAAGTTATGTATCATGTCATAAAGACTTCCAAAATAAAGATTTTATTTTTTTAGTACAAATTCTCAAAGCTTTAAAGACTGAAAATTTTATGTACTGCAGTTTATAAATAAATAAATAAATTTATTTGCATGTGCGCTTGTGTTTGTATTAAATATTAATAGAAATGTTTCCTTTAAAGTTGTTCAACTCAGTCCTCAATTTGTAATCAAGGGCTTTGCTAAGAACAAATTGGTGTGTTGTTTTAATGTTTGTTTTTGGGCATCACTAGGATTGATGCAGATCTGGGTTTGTTTCGGCTTGTAATGGGCTCCTGGCCCATTATATCATTGGGGAACGCCCTGTCACATGTATATTCTTTCATCTTTATATATACAGTATTTGTCACTTATTTATCCCCAAAAAAAATGTATATATATATATATGTATAGAGAGAGAGGGGTGTGAGTTTCTTGTAAAGAAAAAATAAATAAATAAAGTCTTCAACTTGTATGGAGTTATCGGATTACTAATAACTCTCCATTGCTCGAGTTAAAATTATTATTATTTTTTCCTCTTTTATTTTTCTCTCCTGTTTTTTAAAAAGCGTAATTTTAATTTCTCTTGCAGGTAGGTTCTGTTTCTACTCTCAATACAAATTTTCTTTGAATCACAGAAAATGGAGATGGAGATTAGACACTTCAGCCACAAGCACGGATTGACTTTTACAATACATAAGGAATCCAAGTTTGTCAAGATTTGCAAAGGGTGCAAGATGCTCCTCTTGGATGATTTCTATAATTGCGAAAATGCTATGCCCACTTGCAATTTTGACATACATATTAGATGTGCTTCACTGCGGCCCACTGTTAAATTTGAACTTCACCAGCACCCTCTTGTTTTCCTCATCAAAAAACATCAAATTAGATTCAATGAGTGCAGCGTTCATGGAGTTTGTTCTGGACATGAACTCAGTTTCCCTTACTTCCGTTGTGTGCCATGCCAAATCCATATAGACTTGTTCAATGTTCCGACGTTACCACCTACATTCAAACATAGCAATCACAAACATTCACTCACCCTCACTCATTCTCCCATCAAAGACCATTCAGACGACCATGATGACTCTGAATATTACTGTGACGTTTGCGAGGATAGAAGACTGCTAAAAAAGCCAACTTATTATTGTGAGGAATGTCATTATATTGCTGAACTTTCTTGCGCTTTCAAAGAGGTACAACTGAATTTTCAGCTATTAGATTTGACCAAGATAGCTTACTATATTATTTTACATCAGTTATTGTACTCCAATTTTTTCTCTACGCATAACTTCCGCCCGCCCCGGGGGGTCCATACCCAGCGTTGTATTTGGAGCAGCTGGATTTATGTGATCTTAAAATTAAATTTATGGTAATGGTAAATTTTATTTAGAAATATCGTGAAAATTAATTTGATTTCATGGTATTCCAAAATTACCAAGTAGATCTTGCAATATGTCCCACTCTGCTCTTCTTTTAGTTTTCTAAATTCCAAATGCATAAATCCCAATCCAAAAAAAAAAAAAAGAAATTGATTCCACTGTTATTCTCTTCCATTGTTTATTTATTTATTTATTTTTATCGTTTTTTACATGATTAAATTGTAGAATACTTCTACAATTTGTTTTTCATTTTTTTTTTTCTTAAATTCATTGTTGACGAAAACTAGAAATTTACATAATAATCCCTAATGTGCCAAATAAATAAAATGATTTACAACAGCTACTCAACCTGTATACTACAAAATATTAACAAGATGTATATTCGACATCTTTTTGACAAAGATTTCTATGTTGAGTAAAACGTCTCCGAGTGATGGGCCATCCAATTTTAGGCAAAAATACTGATTATATACTTCAAAAATGCTTTTTGTGAATGACAAATCATTAAATAGTAGCACATTATGTAAATTTATTGACATTCATCATCACAAAGGATGGTTTCATGTGTCTTACGTAAATTTTTTAGCTTTTGGTTCATTGTCAGATTCTTCCTTTACTAGAGAGAGAGTGGTCCAATGAAGAGATTGTAGTGCTTCAAGAAAAGCTAAATGCACTGACCGTGAAATTTGAGGTGCTAATAAAAGATTTGGATGAACTTAAGCAGATATTAGTGACGACCAAATTGGTAAGTTGTTATGTACTAGGTTGTATCACGAAAAACTTATCATGTACGTCTATTATTAGGCATATGGGGTGTGATTAATGGAAGTGGAGATTAAAAATACATCAACAGATAAGAAGGCATTAAGTGCTGCAAGAGATGACCCTGCCATTGTTGACCAGATGAAGAGCTCATAATGCTTCAAGCAAAGGCAGATGCACTGGGAAAAAAATTAGAGACTGTAACAACAAAACTTGACGAATTTAGGAAAAGACCTGCGCAACATATTGGTGACTACCAAATTGGCAAGTTGTTCTACATGTACTCGGTTGTGTTTGGAAAAATTACCTTGTTCATTGTTGGGCATGTGCAGTGTGATTCATATGTAACATGATTATTTGAGAATCATCCTTGGCAAGTGGACTTAATGATAAGAATTATGCAGGGTTAATGGAAGTGAAGACTTGAAATGCATCAATGGATATACAGATCTTTTCAACTATCGCTTCAAGTCATTCAGTCATTGCCAACCCAGATGAAGAGATTGTAATGTTTCAAGTAGAGTTATATGCACTGACAACGGAATTAGAGACACTAACAACAAAGTTGGATGAACTTAAGAAGGGATATATTAGGTTAAATTAGGAAAAAGTTGTCATGTTTGTTAGTCCTGTTTTTAACATTATATATTATTATATGACTTAAGAGATTCCTATGCAAAAAAGAACTATAGAATTGAATTAATTGTCTTTATTCTATTGGTGTTGAAGAAGACTGCAATGTGGAAAGCATGAAAAAGGAAGAAGAAGATGAGGGTAGTGATGGTACATTCCCCAGCCTCGCTGAGCTAGATGGAAAAATAGAGGCAACAACAGCGAAGTTAGAGGCGCTAACAGCAGAATTAGAGGCGCTCAAGAAGAAACGTGCACGTCGTGTCTCACGTCTCGCGCACAAATGAGGAGTCTTTTTGGCTGAATTTCAGCTTGGTGTAGCCACTGTGATGTTAGCTATGGGGCACATTGGAAAATAGGTTAACAAGTTAGGTACTTCAACAAATCAGCTTGTTGATATTTGATACTCAGCAAATTACCATATCAGAAGTAGGGCTTTGTGGACCTATAGCGCCATCTTGACTTGGGTATTGCGAATTTGTATTTAGATGATCCTTGTTTGAAATTCATGGTTGAAAGGTTGTATATATGTTATAACCAAATGTATCTTTTCCTATTTGTTTTGTGTTTATTCTTTTGAAACGAATATGATGCATCTTTCAAAGGCTTAAAGCTAAAACTTCGTTAAAACTTCTCTTGCATACCACACAACTGCCAGACTATTCTTAAAATTTTATTTGACAATATACAACTGCCAGACTACTCTTACCCTCCCTGTTTACATTACATGCCCAGATTTGACTGACAATAATCAATATACGCTAATTTCGGCAATGTTAATTGCTTATGCTTCATCATCAACCATCTCTATCTTCATTGTCGTCGTTGCCTTCAACTTCATCGATCCCAATTTCGTCCCGTGTTATCTTCATTCTTTCTTATAGAATGTCTTGGTGACTCTTAATTGTGTATTAATTTCATTTGAAATGGCAAATGATTTGGTACAAGATTGATTGAAATGATATTGGTTTGGTACAATATCATTAAGTAAATAAAAAAGTTAAGAGTCCTAAATAATGAAGTTGCCTATTTTAAAAGTTCATTTCTTTGAAAAGAGGAGGTTAGGAAGAAAATTAGAGATGCCTATCCAAAGATTGGCAAGCATTTGGATATTGGAAAAATAATTTTTTGGACAGGACTAAATATTGTGGTGAGCATATTGTAGGGTGGCACACTAGAAAGGGGAGAAGAATATCTGTCATAATTAGGAAGAAAATTATAAATCAAAGCAATAAACATTTCGTTAAGATATTTTTTTTTCTAGTTGGTACTCACACAGTTATCTCTTCTCAGACTTGAACCACTGACATCTCTTTGAAAATTAAAAAACTGATACCGTTAGGTTACTTGCTCGTTGGTCACATTTCATTAAGATAAATCAATAACAATTGCACGCTCTAAAAGTTTGAATTGATAGAGAAGATGTAATATATATATATATATATATATATATATATTCAAATGTTTCCTTCTAATTTAGCGGTATCAGTTTCTTAATTCTAGAAAGGAGGTTAGAGATTCAAACATCAGAAGAGACTAGTGTGTGAGTGCCAAATAGGATAAAAAAAAAAAATAAATAAAAAATAAAAAATAAAAAATGTTCCCTTGTTGTGTGTCTCCCTTCACATGAAGGCGGGAGGTGTACACACTACCCTTCCACTCTAATATTATGTTAAAATTCTAGACGTTCAAATTTTGTATGAATTAAGTTTGTTAGTTGTGAGCCACATTAGGCCAAGGCATGAGACAACTACGTTAGTGCATCAACTTTTAATTAAATTAAAATAATTAAAAATACATTTTAAAAACCCTCAATTCTAAAAATGATCGAAACAGTCCTTGGAATCCGCGTGGCACGCAAAACAAAGCCTCTATTACATGTTGACTATTTGACTTTTGCTATGTGGGCGTTATTGATAATACGGTGTTTCCATGTGGGCTAAAATATGTTTGACACCTGCAAAGTCTAAAGACCTTTTTTCTGATATTCAGCAACTCATGTTATCTTCTACGTGTCAATTTTTGAACCATTTGTCTGATTTGTCAAGATATTATTCCATTTTTTAACCATTTGTTTGATTTGTCAAGATATCATTCAATTCATGACCATAAGTTTAACTTTCAAGTGGGTCCAACCTTCAATTATTTGATCGTTTCTTCTCCAATATTCTAATTCAACACTACAGTATAGTACACTACTTATTATAGTATGCTCTTTTATGTAGAAATTTTGAAGCTGTAGTTTCTATAATCTAATTCCTGAAATTCATAGTTTGTGAACATGTATTCAGATCTTCTATACGAGACTGCACATACCATTTATGAACAATGGGCATGGTGGTGGGAAGGCAGCAACAAAAGAGATGAGCTTGATAGAGCAATTCTCGCCGTTTCAATGGTGATACTAGCAATCTTCTGGTACATATGGACATCTATGAAGTCAAGAACAGGAATGGCTCCATTGCCACCTGGTCCTCATGGCTTGCCAATAGTTGGGTACCTCCCATTTCTAGGAACCAACTTACACATAACATTTGCAGAATTGGCTCGTCGCTATGGTCCAATCTACAAGCTCTGGCTCGGAAAAAAACTCTGCATAGTTCTGAGCTCACCCTCCCTTGCAAAAGAGGTGGTTCGCGACCAGGACACAAGTTTTGCTAATCGTGATGCGACCATTGCAGCATTGGCTGTCTCATATGGTGGGCTTGACATAGCATGGAGCTCTTATGGCTCCTACTGGCGCACTATGCGCAAAGTGTTTGTGCGAGAGATGCTGAGTAATACCAATCTTGAGGCTTGTTACGATCTTCGACAAGAGGAGGTTAGGAAGACAATTAGAGATGTGTATGCCAATATTGGCAAGCCTATGGATATTGGAAAAATAATTTTTCTGACAGAACTAAATGCTGTGATGAGCATGTTATGGGGTGGCACAATAGAAGGGGAGAAGAATAGTAGTGTCGGAGATGAGTTTCAGGAGGTAATCGAAAAAATCATTGAAATAATTGCAAAACCAAACATATCTGACTTTTTCCCAATGCTTGCAAGGTTTGATATACAGGGCGTGGAGCGACAAGCAAAGAAGCTCCTAGTATGGGTAGATCGAATCCTAGATGCTGTCATAGATGAACGGATGAGATTGGACGGTGGCGAGGGATTGGGGATGTCCAAGGATAAAGAAAGGAAGGATTTTCTGCAAATCTGTTTGGAGCTGAAGGAGCAGGAAGATACTGCAAGTCCAATTACCTTGACACAAATCAAGGCCATGTTGATGGTAAATTCTTTGCCAACTTTATGTCTTAGCAGATGTTTAGAAGCATCCTTAAAACTCAATAGGCCTCACCTAGATTTCATTTTGCTACAATTCATCTAATGGATTTCTTTAGCAGATCAAGGGTCCAAAAAAATTAGCACTTCATTTGTGATTTTAGTTTTTTATTCTAATCAAATTCTTTGCCTGTGGAGGAGAAATGAGAATGCTTTAGAGAAGACTGTGATACAGTCTTTGATTTAGAGAACAAATCATTTCTCTTTACGGAGAAGGCAAATTGGATGGTTAAATTTTAAGTTTTTAACAAATGAAACGGACTTTCTATGCACTTGTTTGAGAGGGTACCCATCAGATGATCGGTCCTAATTGTTACTTTCTTTATCATGTAATAGAATCACCTCAACAGAGAATTAGCTTACTTTTTTTTTTTTTTGAGAGGTGTTGGTGAGACATCCATTGCACTTAATTGTACTCTTATGCAATACTACACTATTATCTCAAAACCAAGTCCTAAGTTTCAACTTTGGGTTTTAGGTTTTGGTCCTTCATATAAAACACATGTAACACACATTGATTAATCCTTTTACAAATTAAATTAATTACTCCAACGGAACAAGCACACGTGCAAACAAATTTTTGTGCGACTGTTATTTGATTAAAAAAAAATAATAAAATACATCGTAATGTAGACTGGAATCAGTTTTTCAAACTTGATGAATATTGAGAATTGAACTTGTGCTACCAAAATGTTTGTAACAGGACATTGTGGTCGGTGGGACAGACACGACAGCAACCATGGCTCAGTGGGTGATGGCAGAACTCATGCGCCATCCGGGAGTAATGAAAAAGGTCCAAGAAGAGTTAGCAGAAGTTGTTGGAATGAACATTGTTGACGAGTCCCATATCCCCAAATTACAGTATTTGGATGCAGTTGTGAAGGAAACATTCCGGTTACACCCTGCACTCCCTCTGTTGGTCCCAAAGTCTCCAAGTCAATCTTGCACTGTAGGTGGTTACACCATACCAAAGAACACTAAGGTCTTTCTTAATGTTTGGGCAATTCATAGGGACCCTGAGCTTTGGGATGATCCATCTGAGTTCAAGCCTGAGAGATTCTTGAGTGAACCGGGCAAATGGGATTATTATGGCAACAATCTTCAGTATCTTCCATTTGGATCCGGAAGAAGGATTTGCGCGGGGTTACCTCTAGCAGAGAGAATGCTTATGTATATTTTGGCCTCTCTCTTGCATTCATTCGAGTGGCAAATGCCGAAGGGCGAAGAGCTCGATCTTTCAGAGAAATTTGGGATTGTTATGAAGAAAACAACTTCACTGATTGCTATTCCCTCCCAAAGGTTTGCTAGCCTTGACCTCTATGCATGATTCAAAGTACTTCAAAAAATAAAAAGAGGCTAGAATGACAATGGTGTGTCCCTTTATGAGCTCACTTAGTGTCAAATAAGATACTTAATAGAATTATTGCCTTGGTTTGAAATTTATAAATGAAAATAAGTGGTGAATCAGTTTGGATGCAACACAAGTTGAAATAATGTCTACTGTAGCACTTGCTCGAATCCTTAATAGAACAAACTATATTATATGATTTTCATGGAGCATATCATCTGTAAATATATTCATGTGTGTATAAACATAGATTTGGTATACGTTGATATATTACTTGGGCGAGAGTTGATCAATATTAATTAACATCCCTGCAAACAGGCAGGTCCTTCTCGAAGTTGGGCATTGCTCGAAGGATTGGATTGCTTTCGAAGCAATTAACCGGCTTCAGATCAAAGTTTGATGACACTGTTGGCATTATAGGGTAGTCCTCCTGGCATGGTATGTGTGATGGAATACCATGATGTACCGCATAACACATGTCCTTTTCTCAATCGGACGATTCCAATTTACCAAAAAATCATTAATGAACGTTGTATAAAAAAACGTACATGCATTTGATTAAGAATTACTTTAGGTTTCTGAATTATGTTTGTCCCTCTCAGTGTTGGGATTTATATGCCCTGGCATAGCAAATTCCTATCTGGATTATAGTAACATATATTCCTGACATATCTGAAATATTTATGATTTATATAATTGGTGAATTCAATGTATTATGTTTCGATTCACTATGAAATTGATAGTGTCCATGTAATTACAAAAAATATTTATATATATGTATGTGATGGCAATCAATGCATGATATATAAATAGTAATTATAAATTGTTCATAATCGGTAATTATGGATGGTCTTATAATTAATTAAGACTTGAACTGGATCCGCGTTAGGTTGAGATATATTGCGAGAGCCGTCGTATGCAATTACTCCCTATCACCGTCATGACATTTGACTCTTAAGCATGAGAAAAGTATAGACTCTTTTATTAATTTATAATTACTTTGATTTGTTCAGCAGATTCTTCGGGATCCTTAGACTGACACTTTGGGTAGTTATGTAATTAATAGTTAGAGGGTTATATTTTCAATATTTGCATCATTGCTACTTATATTTATTTTGTATTGATTATGGTTGATCACAAAGTAAATTCGAAGGCCTTCGTGTGTTTTTAGACAAAATGATTTATTATATATTTATTTATTTAAATTATTATTTTTGTCAAACAAATGTTTTATTGTGATCGAGCCAGAAATAATCAGAGGTACCAAAATAGATATATTAATTAAGTAGTCGGATTGATGGCTTTATTTATCCGATAACTAATTATGCATAGATGGGTCAAAGTGCAATATTGACTTAGAGGTTATTTATTATTTAATTGGAATTCAATTAATTTCTTTTAGTGGAGTAGAAATTAATTTATGAATTAATTGAATTGGGTCCATGGACCGGGCCAATTATTAATTCATTGTAGCCAATAAAATAATAGGCCCAATGGATTCTCATTCATAGCCCAACTTGATATTGGAATCATATTAGATTTGAGACATATGAATTAGAGATGGAGAAGGATTTGTTGTTTCCTTTTCTTTATTTTTATGTTGCCTATAAATATACATGGTCTATGTATATTTTAGGGGGTGATTTTTAATGAGAAGGAAAAAAGAATTTATTTTCTCTCTCTAGAAAATTAGGGTTTATGTTCTCATCTAATGGAGGCTCCCACAAGCCTAGTTTTTCAAGGTCATTCATGGAGGCTTATGAGTGATTCCTAAAGGCAAAACAATTACCAAGAAGATGGAGATCCAAGAAGAAGGCATCTTGCTAAGGGATCTACAATAAGTGAGAACATTCACTTTAGAGGAAAGTTTTAAAGGTTTACTCAGACCTTTAATGTAAGTATTCAATCTGTTAATTGAATGATACATCATATTTTTATTTTTGCGTAAAACTTGTCTCTATGTGATGAATCAAGATCTATGAATCAAAATCCCTCGAAAAGTTTTTTAAACTTGCACGTTTCCCAACAGTGGTATCAGAGCAAGGTTTGATTCATTACTAGAGATCATGATTTTATGAAAATTATCATTCATGGATCCAAAATTATATTCATATATATTTTTATTGATGTATGTTGATGTATGATTTAATATGTTGATATATATTGATACATAATGATGTATGAATAATTGTGAATGAATGATGATGTATGGTTGGGCCATGGATGAAGTTTATAGGAATATTGAATGTAATTTTATCTTTGGATGAATGTAATTAAGGCTTTGATTTAGCCGTTTGAAAGTTCAATGATGTAATTTATTTTTCCCATTGTATTTCAAGTTGTAAATATTTTTAAAGCCATGTAATATTTATCAAAGGATGCTATGAAGCTTCAAGAAGGTCCAAAAGGGTTAAATTATGCTTCAGTAATTTTCTGGAATTTTTTGAGGCTTAATTTAATTTTCTGGGAATTTTTCTGATTTTTCTGGAATTTTTCGGAGTTTTTCCGGTGGCCGGAGCATCGCCGGCGGCGAGAAGAGGCGTCGGAGGAGGCTGGAATCAGATGTGGTGCATAGGAGGTGAGCCTGGCGCGTGAGGAACACGCGCCAGGAGGTGACATATGCTGGCGCGTGCATTGCACGCGCCAGCCAAGGTTGTATGGCCTCCACGCGCGTGCCAGCGCGTGGGGGCGCGTCCCACGCGCCCCAGGCGCGTGTGAGCGCGTGTGGGGCCCTCCAGGCGCATTCCAAGCGGTGTTTTGCTTCTCCTGGTGCGAACCAGCCTTATGTGGGTGTTTGCAAGCCGATGGATGATCTTCCCGCGATACTTAGAGTAGTTAAATGTTAAAAGCTGATTCCATTGGCCATTTTATTTGCTTTATCTGTCATTTATTTATTTATGCGATGTACGAAATGATGGAATATATAATTGTTAATTAATTATTATTCATGCATTGGATCCATGATATTTATTTAAATGGCTTGATTTATATTAATTAAGTTATGAAAATTAATTGGATCTGATTACTAATTAATTTGAGGGCACTTATTGGGAAACGCAAAATTATTTTTTGTAAATTATTTTTAAAGTGTGCTTCAAATTAAATATTAGTGAATCGTTTAAAGTCCAAATATTTTCTAAATTTAATTGGATTAAAATCAAGACGTTTTGTATGCATTATATCATGTAAATGAATAAAATGAAAACCCTAATTATGGATGATTAAAAATTGAGTGGGAGCGGGGATTTTTATACATTGTCCCATGGCCTTCGTTATTAACACCATTGTAATTAGGTCTTCAAAAATAAGGCCCCACGCATGATTTGAAGAGTCTTAATATTACAAGAATGGTTACCTCATAAAAATAATAATATTAAATGTTCATTGTAATTAGATCTTTAAAAATAAGGCCCTACGCATGATTTAAAGAGTCTAGATTATAATGACAAGATATTTAATGTTTTATTTTTCATTAGAGTATTAATAACGTTATACACTCAATCTAAAATCAATAGTGTTAGCTCCCCAACGGAGTGGTCTATACTAGGTGATTTTAGAAAGGCTAAACATAATCGGAAATCATTTCATATAGATAGACAAGGCATTGTCTTAAGAGATATGAAAATGATGGGATTTGCCTGCCAATAGCAATAATGAACTTCGCCAACCGAATAAATTATTGGCGTATTGGTTATTCAATTTTTCATGCAGTGGTTAAGGGACCCACATATTATTATTTTAATGGAAGTGCTCGCCTAATAGCAAATGAATCTCAATAATAGTAATAATGAACTCCTCCAACAGGATAAGTTATTGACATATTGATTGGTTGATTTATTATGCTAAAGAGTTGAGGGACCCGCATTAATTAAAAGGGATTGTTCACCAATAATGATAATGATCTCTTGTTCGATTGAGATTTATTGTATTATGTGGTTAACAAGCTCATTTTAATTTTAACTATGCATGACATTATTAATAATTCACCTTGCATATTGTATGAATGCATTTATATTCAGATTAATTATGTCTAATCCAGTTTATCTGCTTGCTTACATATTCAATGTAACTGGATCTCATAAATATTGACTGAGAAAGGAACTTAGATATTTTATTCACAATGTAAGGGTATAAATGTATTTACTACTTCTAAACCTAATCCTTTTACTTTAAGATACCCAAGAGAACATTAATGCTTTGAATAAGTGAAATAAGGCAAATGAGATGACTTGGTGCAATATTCTAGAGTTTACCTCGAATACGCTCCAAAGCTAACATTTACATTATTTTATTTTCTTCAAGCATCATGTTAAAATTTAATAAGATGTTTTGGTGAGATTAGATAGAGAGTATGCCAAAGTACTATGTCAGACTTGAATAGCATCAAGATAGCCTAAGGAACTCCAGTATGAAATCGAATTTTGAAAAATGATTGTTTATTATTTAAAAATTAGCTGGAGATCAATAAGGCTGACTTGGGTGGTAAGTTTCAAGTTGACATGATTATTGCCTTGTTACCAAACTCGTTCGACTATGTTAGAGTGAACTAAATAAGGAATCAGTTTAAGTTCACACTCGCTGATATTCTTATAGAATTGGTAACAGATGAAGGGATAATCAAGAGTATGGGCGTTCCTATCAATCTAACCTAGTCTATACCATCTTCTTCTAGGCCCAAGTGGACGGGCAAAGCAAAGAAGAAGGATGATAATAGGACTAGACTAGCACAAAACATGGGTATTCAAAAAGGTTAAAGGGAATAAGGCAGTGTATGTTGAGGGTGAAGAAAACTGTTTCTTTTGTCGCTAACTAAAACACTAAAGGACGAACTGTTTAAGCAATGACGTGGCATAGAAAAATATATATTTAATCATTGAGCCATGTTATGTGGTTGCGTCTATTAATTCCTGATGGATAGATTCTGGAGCCACTAAACATGTTTGCAATTTATTGTAAGGATTTCAGGAATCCAGAAGCCTTGATGATATGGATATATATTTATCTTTTGACCTGATGCCAAGGTTGTAGTTAAGTCAGTGGGAGTATTACATCTGAAATTAGAGAGTATGAGGATATTAGTATTAGAGAACTATCTTTATGCACAGAAGTGAAACGCAATCTCATTCTTATTTCACTTTTGGTTTATAAAAACTGTGTTGTTATTTTGTAAAACTGGTTTTATAAAATTGAATAGATATG